AACCGGCCCTGCTGTCAGGCCCCGCCCGCTCACGGTCGGTGTTTTTCAGCGACTGTTTCTTCTGCGAGGGCTTCGAGATGACCTTGATGAGGCGGCTGTGAAAGGTGCCCAGCTCCTGGCCCCCTCGCAGCACCAACCGCAGCACCAGCCGAAAGTGCTTCCTCTTGTCCGCGTCTGAGATGTACAGGGTCTTGGCACAACCGAATTCCTACGGGGCTCGGGGGACAGGGCCGTCTCAACCTAGCCCTCCACCACCGGATGAACCAACCTCTCCCAGACATCTGACGTCCGTTCCGTCGGAGGTGACAAGAAGTTCCACGATCTGGACTCTTGGGCTCAGCCTAACACAGAACCCCGGCCTCCCTCCCCATCTCTTGGCTTCCGGAGGGGAGTAAAGGAGCCCCCCCCCTTCCAAGGAAGAGGCGAGAATGGGAGCAGGAATCGGACCCCTTCCCGTGAGCTCTCACCCTGGAGTCCGGCTGCTCCTCGAAATTCAGCTTCTGCGTCTCGGCGGCGCTGCCTGACGCGCCGTCCAGTCCCATGTAACCGCAGACCGTGGGCCCCGTCTCCCCTCCCTGCTGAGCTGGAAAGGGACGCGAGCGGGCTTTGGAAGGACTCAGGAAGGACGCAGGTGCCAGACAAGCGTAGTTCTCGCCGCCAGAGGGCGCGGTGAGACTGCGCTGCGAGCCGCCCCGGTCCCTGTCCCTACTGCTTGATCCTCCCTGCCGGCAGCCCTTGAGTCCATCCTCACCTTGGCCCTGCGCGGGCTTCACCCTCCAGCCGGGACCCGACAGGTAGACACAGGGCGGGGGACAGAAGAACCTGCGGAGACAAGTGAGTGCTGGATTCGTATATCCGTCTCCACTCCACTGTCCTGTAAGCATCGCAGGGAACCCTGGATTCCTCCTTCTCTCCCCCAGACTTCTCCATGACCGTGAACCCCGTTAACATCCAATCCTTTTTTTTAAACACCCCTCATTCATCGCATCCGTAAGTCCTGTCCACTCTACCTTCAAAACGTAACCAGAATCCATTGGCTTCTTGTTACCTTGCTCTTAGTCCCAGCCGCCATTACTTTTTGTCTGGGTTCCAATCAATCTATTTCCACTCCTGCCACTTTCAGCGTTTTCACATGGCAGCCAGAGTGCTTTCTTAAAAACAAGTCGAATTATGCTGCCCCTCTTCTTAAAATCCTACACTGATTTGAAATTCAAAGTCCTCCCATGGTCTGGCCCCTGCTCTCCAACTAACTTCCTACAACTCCTCCCTCCTCTAATTCCGGCTACTCTTTTTTTATTCTTTCTTTCTTGAACTGGAGTCTCACCCTGTTACCCAGGCTGGAGTGCAGTAGCACTATCATGGCTCACTGCAGCCACAACCTCCTGGGCCCAGGCCATCCTTCCACCTTAGTCTTCCAAGTAACTGGAATTACAAATGCACACCACCATGCCCGGCTAATTTTTTAATTTGTTTTTTGTAGACATAAGGTCTCTCTATGTTACCTACGCTGGCCTCAAACTCCTGGGCTCAAGCAATTCTCCCACTTCGGACTCTCAAAGTGCTGGGATTACAGGCGTTAGCCACCGTCCCTGGCCTAGTCCCTGGCCTACTCTGACTTCTTTTGTAACTGGAACAGGCCTAGCTGGTACAGCTTCAAGGTCTTTGCATTTTCTGTTCCTTCTAATTGTAGCATGCTTTCCCCAGATTTTCTCATATCTGGCTCCATTTTAACATTCACGTTTCGGTTCATGTGTCACCTCCCTAAAGTCTTTTGACCTCCTTGATCTTTCTGGCTAACATACTTTTCCCTTCAGTTTCTATCACATTGCTCTGTTTAGTTTTCCTCCTAGGGCTCACCATAATCTGAAAGTATCTTGTTTACTGTGAAAATGCTATGAGGGCAAGGACAGCATCTGTCTTGTTCAGCTGTATGCCTAGAGTCCAGCAGTGCTCACAGTGCCTGGCACATACATGATAAGCACTCAATAAGTGGTTGTTGAATGAATGAATGAATGAGAAAGTGAGTGAATGAATGGGCAGGAGATTCACAGGAGGTTCTGCTACAGACCCGAAGTGGGAGCCAAAAGTGGCTGAGGGACAAGGACCCTGGTCAGTCAATAACTGAGGTCTCGGTTCCAAGGCCACCCCTGGATCTAAAAGAGACCAACTGGGCTGCAGAGGCCTGTGGGGGGCCTCTGAGGCACCTACCGCTTCTCATTTCCATAGGATTTCTGGGCCACCTTGGCGTGCAGGATCCGCACTGTCTGCTCACACCGCTGCTGCAGGCACCTGCGCACGCCTTCCCTCAGGATGCTGGCACACTCTGGGGATGACCTGGGAGTGGGGTCGGGCAGGCCAGCCAGCCCACAGCAGGGAGAGTCAAGGGCCAAGGTGGCATAGAGCCGGCCATTCAGAGCCTGACCACTCAGATTGTGTGAAATGAAAGGGGGCTGGAGGTGGATAGGGCTGCTCTGCATTCTGCTCCCATGGGGTCAAGAGAGGAAGTGTCAGGTAAGCAGAGGACTTGGCTGCAAATCGTGGACTCAATATTTAGGCTGCTAGGTGCTCAATGAGGTCTGCATAGAGCCCACTGGGACCACCCAGGTGCCACTCTGCGTGTCTGGCTCCATGCCCATTGCAGCCCAGGGCCTTAAGACACGTGGCTGTGACACAAAGACTGTACTTATGCTGGCCTTGGGATGGAAAGGGGGAATTGGTAGAGGCTGAGCTCCCCCACCTCAGGGGAATTCCAAGGGGGAGCAGCTTTTGCTAGGCCCTGGTCCCCAGAGCTCTTTCTAGCCTCCTGTCAGCAAACATGATAGGGCCCCCCCAACCGTGTCCCCAGGATGGGGGGTGGGATGAGGGAATCCGAGTCTTCCTGGGGGCCAAAACAAAATTCCTTCCTTTCTCTCACTATTAGGGGCTGTGGCTGTGCACTTTCCTTCCCTTGATTACTGTGGGAGTCAAGGCCAATTACGTCGGTCCTTTGAAGTGAACCTAGGGACTGGGAGCTTTGACTGGTGAGGGTGGTGGGCCCAAGGCCTAGGCAATTGCCAGAAGCATGTAAAGGAGTCTGTAGTGGGTGAGATTTGGAGACTGGCAGCTTGCGGCCTGAGGAGAGCCATGAACCCTGAGGCTGTCTTTCTGAGCCTTTTACCGTCTTGGCAGGGCAGGAGTCTGGGGCCTCTCTTCGCTCCTGGAGGGGACAGTAGAGGGCAAGAGTAGGACCGCGCCCTCAGAAGCAGGCTCGGCGGCCAGAGCCAGGACCGCTCCACCCCTTGGGGCTGCCTCAGGGAAGTGACTCTCAAGCTTCCAACGCATTCCGGCTGCGGAGTGTCGCCGCCCCAGTCTCCGCTGTAGCCGAATTCCAGCCGGCAACTAGCGCCGCAGCAGCTCCTGGGGTGGTGGGAGCCGGGGGCCGGGCTTGCCCCGCCTCAGCCATCGGAGGAAGGGGGGGGTCACTCCCTGACGGTGGGAGGGGTCGCAGCCCGCGCTCACCCTCCCCATCCGCCAGCCCTGGGTTAAATGCGGCCGCCGCCTGCGCTCGCTCCAGCTGCCTGGCAGTCCCCACCTAGGGCACGCTGCCCACGCCGTTACCTGGTCCAACTGCCCGCGAGGCTCCGCCCGTCGGCTCCGCTCTGCAGCTGCGTCTCTGAGCTGCCTGGCAGGCTCAGGTGAGTCAAAGGGCCCGGGGGTGCTGAGGGATCTGCAGGGAAGCGGGAGTCCAGCCAGGTCAGGCACCTTGTTTAGCAGCGATGCACCGCCCTCAGTGCCCCCAACTGACCTGCGATGCCCTTCCCACTTCTGTGGAGTCCTTTCCAAATTGAGCCTCCACCCACAACGCTGCCAAAATGGGGTCACCCCTTTTGTAATCTCATTCCTCCAGGAGCCCTCAGGATTGTTCCCAAGAGAGCTCTGGAGGAATCATGTACAGAACCCCTCTTCCTTGCCAGTCCACTCCCCACACCCCCAGGGCACCTCAAAATTCTCTTTAAGCAATGATGAACCCCTCAGAGGAGTCCCGGGTTCTAGTGTCAGCCCCTACCACTACATTGCTGTGTGACCTCGAGTGAGATACTACTCTCTCTGGACCTTGTCCCTTTCTCTGCAGAATGAAGGGGTTGGAAAGGTAGTGAACTTTGAGGCAGTCGCTATTGTGACTTTCTAAGATTCTTGGGGTGGAAGTGGAGGCGGGGCAGGTGAGATGTTGGCTCAGGCCAAGGGAAGGGCAAGGGGGACCTTCATCAAGAATTTGGGGCCCAGAGGCTTCTGCGGGTGGGCAAGAGTGACGAGTGGCAAAGGCCCCTTGTGTCTTCCCAGGGATATGCTACCCAGGGATGCTGGCCCAATCTAGAGGAAGTTCTCCAGCCTCCCACCTCCACCACCGCTGGCACCTCGAGCTCAGTCACCCTCCCATGACGGCCCCTGCCAGAGGGATTTCTGTTCCTCTCCCCGGCCTGGGAGGAGAAGGGGGAGAAGGATCCAGGAAGGGAAGGCCGCCCAGAGCGAGCTGCCGGCACCCGACTTGCACAAAATAGGCCCATTCACGGAATTCGGGAGGGGGGGCGGGGGCGGGGCTGCGGTTGGTTTAGGGGCGGCTGGCCCTCTTTGCCAAGAAACTGCAGCAGCAAAATGGCTAACACAGCTTCTGCACGAGGCGTGGGGGTGGGGCAGGGAATGGAAGGAAGAGAGATTCAGTGATGCCTAGGCGTCGGGGCCCGGCAACTCTGGGGGAGAGGGTGAGCCGGGACTCCCGGGTTCTAATCTCGCCTTTGCAGCTCGGCGGGCTGACTTCCTGGGCCTCAGTTTTCTTATCCCTACAACGGGGATCTTTCGTAATTTTCAGGGGGCGTCCCCGGGGGCTGCGGGAGGGTGAGTGCTCACCTGCTGTCCTCAGAGGGTCCATGGCGGCTCTCCGAGGCCCCGGCCACTGATTCGTTGCCCTCCGGGTACGTCCAGTGCCGCCGGCCCTGGAACCCTGCACACCACGGCTCCCCAGCCCTCCTGCGAGATATATCCTGGCCAGGCCTTATCTCCAAGGCCCCGGGGCTCCCGGCCCCCTGTTTGCTCTGGGCAGGGGCACCTGCTGGGCAGATGTGGGCTTCCCACGCCACCTGGCCGTCGCGGCCAGACCCGGGCGGGCGCCCCCTGGCGGCCTCTTCTGAGAGAAGGCGGGAAACAGTGGCGCCCAGCCTCGAGTTGTGGGGGGATTGGGCCCGCTCACTGCCCCCGCGACCACCATGCTCAACTCCGCGGAAAGGTCGTGGCCCCTCCCTGCCGCTGCGGTTGGGCGATGCATGTCTGTGTCTCTGTATGTGGAGGGGTCTGGGGAGCGATTCTCAAAGATAGCCACGCAGAAGCTTCCTGAGTGCGGAGGGAAGGGGGCTGGGATGGGATTGGCTTCTGTCTGTAGGAGGAGGTTCGCCTGGTGGAAGGAGAGGGCACTTAACCTCCCATCTGGCTCACAGAACCGAAGAGGCGAAGAGGCTGGAATTTTATTCTGGTGCAGCCACTTTTTTTTTCTTCAGTCAGGGTCTCATTCTGTCACCCAGGCTGGCCCTGACCTGCTAGGCTCAGCCTTTCAAATAGCTGGAACTACAGTCGCGCCACCTCGCCTGGCTAATTTTGATTTATTGTAGGGACGAGATCTCACCATGTTGCCTAGGTTGGTTTCGAACTTCTGGGCTCAGGCAATCCTCTTGCCTCCGCCTCCCAAAGTGCAGGGATTACACGCGTGAGCCAACGTGCCCGGCTGTCACAGCTACTTCCTTGCTGTCTGATTTTGGGTACCAGCCCTTACCTGCTCTAAGCTAGGTTTCCTCATCTGTACTTTGGAGACACTAACAGTCTTAGTCCCAGAATAGCAGAGAACATTGAATGCCACAATACATGAAAAGCATTTAACACTGTGCCTGGCATTTAGGAGAGGCATTGAAAATTTTTTTTTTCATGTTTACGTTTTTGTATATACTTATCCCTTAAAATTTTTATTTACTATTCTTCAGATTTTTTTTTTTTTTTGAGTCGTAGTCTCATTCTGTTGCATCCAGGCTGGAGTGCAGTGACATGTTCATGGCCACCCCAACTTTGACCTATTGGACTCAGGCGATCCTTCCATCTCAGCCTTTCTAGGAGCTGGAACTACAGGCATGTGCCACCGCGTCCAGCTCATTTTTTGATTTACTGTAGAGATGAGGTCTCACCAAGTTGCCCAAGCTGGTCTCAAACCTGTGGTCTCAGGCAATTCTCTCACCTCTGCTTCCCAAAGTATGGGATTACAGGTGTGAGCCACTGAGCCCAGCCTACTAGTCTTCAGTTTTACAAAGAATCTCTTGTGTTTCCCAGTAATCCCACTGTAACAAGATTTTTTAATTATGAAACATTTCCAACATACACAAAAACAGATTAATAAAATAAACCCATGACCCTCTCTCCCTCCAGATGTCTATCGCCCAGATTAAGAGCTCTGTAAATATTGTTGCTTTAATTCTTTCCTTCTTCCTTCCAGGCTCTGACACATTGGTTCTCGGCTGCCAAGCGCCATGAGGGGCCTTCTTTGCGGGCCACTGCCCATGTTGCTGCTCCTTCTCCAGCCTTGGGAAACCCAGCTAGGGTTGGCAGGTGAGCTGGGCCCAGGTCTGGCGAGTGGGAGGAGGGGAGCAGAGGCAGGTCCTCCGTCTGTGGCCAGGGCCTGCTGGGGAAAGAAAAGCAAGAATTTGAAACATGCCTCACCAGGTTTAAGTTCCCCACTTCACCTCCCTAGGCCTCAGTTTCTTCTCCTGTAGGAAATGGCTTGGTTTGGGGCTCATGCAGAATTGCTCACGTAGTGTTTAATTTTGAAAAAAATATTTAAAAACATGGAACAACCAGACGATTTTCCATAAAAATTCTCATCTAGGGCTCCTTTTGGAACATTCAGGGATCTGCTAACATCCAGTCCGTATGGCTGCACGGCAGCATTGGTTGGAGCTGCCCACTTAAGAGGAGATTCGTGCTCTTTGAGTGTCCACCATCCTAAGTCCACCAGTTCACTCATTTACGTTGCCTGCAGGGCTCCCATAGGCGTTTGAGTTTTCGACCTCTCCTTCTTTACGCTCCTCAGTGGATATACCTTCTCAGAATAGCCCTCAGAGCTGTAGGATGGGGAATTCGTGAAATCTAGCCCAGGTCCTAAACAAATGCTGGATGAGTGTATCTGGCCTGCCTTTGCTAGGTTAATTTGGCTCTGGGCATTGTTATGTGGGGATACGAGCATTTCTCCTGGGTTTCCCTGGGGGTCTCCGCGGAGGAGGCCTTGCTGACCTAGGAAAGTCCTCCCCGATCTCACCGCAGGTCCCAGATGCCATACTGGGCCCCTGGATTTGGTGTTCGTGATTGACAGCTCCCGCAGCGTGCGCCCCTTCGAGTTTGAGACGATGAGGCACTTCCTGGTAGGCCTTCTCCGTGGTCTGAATGTGGGGCCCAACGCCACGCGCGTCGGCGTGATCCAGTATTCGAGTCAAGTGCAGAGCGTCTTCCCGCTTGGCGCCTTCTCGCGCCGCGAAGACATGGAGCGCGCCATCCGCGCTCTGGTGCCGCTGGCGCAGGGCACCATGACGGGGCTGGCAATCCAGTACGCCATGAACGTGGCCTTCAGCGTGGCCGAGGGCGCGCGCCCGCCCGAGGAGCGTGTGCCGCGTGTCGCCGTCATTGTGACGGACGGGCGGCCCCAGGACCGCGTGGCCGAGGTGGCGGCGCAGGCGCGCGCCCGTGGCATTGAAATTTACGCTGTAGGAGTGCAGCGCGCCGATGTAGGCTCTCTGCGCGCCATGGCGTCGCCCCCTCTGGATGAGCACGTCTTCCTCGTAGAGTCCTTCGACCTCATCCAGGAGTTTGGTCTGCAGTTCCAGGACCGGCTATGTGGTGAGTGGGGGTTAAGGACCGGCGGGCGGTGGCGCCGGGGGAGGGTGGGTGGGTGATGGTGCCAGAGTGAGGCTTGAACTCCCAATCCAACTGCTTTCATTCCCGGTCCCATTCTAGTACATCCCATCCCATCAGGGTGGCCACCACGCAGTCCAGGTAGATTTGAGTTGCTCTGGCCTACCGCAGGGTGATTCAGATTTCAGCTCTGGCCACTTTTGCTTAGGCTCGGTCCACCAGGACGAGCGTTTGTGGTTTACCGCGGGCTTCATGTTAAACTTCAACCCAAACCCCTCCATACAAAGAAGCACTGATCCTCAAAGCTGAGAGCAAGGCCCACTTGTCAGAGCCATGCCCTGGCTCACATGAGTGACGGCTCCTCCCACTCTTATCTTAGATCCCCCCACAAAGCCTGCAAATCGTTCTAGTCACAGTTTGAGTTACTCTATCCACCTTGATTTAGCACCTCTCCACCTCCCTACCTTGTCCCTACCTCTGTGTAGTCCTGCCCTACCCCACTGACACATCTAAGTCCGGTGACCCGTCTTCAGAGCCTATTCACAGGGGCTCCTCAAGCGTCTTCTTTCCCTAAACCCTCCCACCTGGCCTAGCCCTCTCAAATGAGTCCTGTCCCTCCTAAGGCTGTACTTGAGGTTGATGCCTGCCCCTCCCTCATCCCCACCCAACTCTCTCTTGCTGGAGGCTTCTGCTGATTCTAGTCTTGTGTGTCCTAAGGGAAGGACTGGTGTGCTGAAGGTGGACATGGCTGCCAGCATCGATGTGTCAATGCCCCAGGCACGTTCCACTGTGCCTGCAACCCAGGCTACAAGCTAGCAGCAGATAAGAAGAGCTGTCTGGGTGAGAGCTACCTCTGCCCTGCAATCTCACTGCTCCTGAATTTTCTTTGGCTCCTCATAGCCCCAGCATCAGACCAATGAGTTTGAAAGGGTCTTTGGAAGTGAAATCCCACCTTCTTCACTTTATAGGCCTAAGAAAAAGATAATCCCTAGGGTCACACAAGTCCTTGGTGCAACCCCGCCGTTAAGTGTGCTCTCTACCTCCTCTTCTCCCTGTATTGAGGACAGTGTCCTGCCTGACTCCAGTCCACCTCCCAACCTTGTTTCTGTCTTCTCACAGGCATGGTCTTACAGTTTCTCCTCTTAGATACTCCCAGGGGTCTTAGTGTAGTGGGATTGTCCCCACATTCCTGCATCTGCTCCTCATCTCTTTGTGCGCTGCCCACTGGGCTGCCTGTTCTTGGGTTCCCCTCTGCCTCTGCAGACCACATTTGCATTATTTATTTATTTATTTTTTCAATGAGTTTCACTCTGTTGCCCAGACTGCAGTGAAGTGGCATGTTAATGGTCACCGCAGTCCAACTTACTGGGCTCAGGCAATCCTTCTACCTCAGCGTTCCAAGTTGCTGGGACCACAGGTGTGCGCCATCACACCCAGCTAATTTTTTTTATTTATTGTGGAGACGAGGCCTCACCATACTGCCCAAGCTGGTCTCAAACCCTGAGCTCAGGCAATCCTCTTGCCTTGGCCTCCCAAAGTGCTGGGATTACAGGCATGAGTCACTGCACCCGGTTGGTTTTTTATTTACATCTTCTGTAAAGGTATGGCTTGCATGCCTTGTTTATTCAATTGGGTTTTTATTTTTGGTGTGTATGTGTGTCTGCTCCTGTGTCATAATTGCAATTTATGTTACTGAGTGTCGAGGTAGACATTGTGTTAGGAGTGTTACATACATTGTCACTCAGACTCACAACAGTCTGGCTTACATTCTGGTGGTCACCTCTTGCTGTGAGCCTCTGCTGAATTCATTTGATGTATGGATCTTCTTTCACTCTCTCAACCCCATACATGTTGTTCTTGTTCCATGCATGTAAATCAGTCTGCTTTTTTGGTTTACAAACTTGTGCATGCAAGGGCATGTGTGTGTCTGTGTAAGTGTGCATATGTCTATTTGACTAAAGAGGGGAATGGATAGAGTATGAGTTTAATCTAAGTAAAGTCAAACACACACACATGTATGAAAAAGACATGCCCATTGTTTAGAATTGACTATTAGACATCTTTGTTCTTAAAGTTTCTCAGTAAGCCCAGGAGAGGGGATTCTTCACTGGCAGCCTCCACCCACAGAGTTACTTGTCTTCATGCTTTTCTTCACTTTCATCTCTTTTCCAGGAACCCAAAATTCTTACTTTTTTTTTTTTTAATACAGAGCAATTCTCTCTCCATTGCCTATTCCCAGTGCTAGGCCATCTTTGCCCATCCAAACCATCAAGATGCTTAGCAGGGCAATAGGTCTCCTTCCTCCTCAGAAGGAAGTGTAAACAGCAATTTCTCTCTTTCATTATAGTCCCATTTTGCCAGTGGAAAAATGTAGGCTCAGATAAGTAAAGTGGCTGAGCTTAGTCCTCGCTGTATCTCTGGGATAGGGGCTCTGTCTTCTACAACGGAAAATTCTTGTTTTTATGTCTGGCTCAGTAATGGCTGCACTGACTCTGGGCTGCATTTAGAGTCTGAGTTGGGAGGGGTCACCTGACTTTATAGGAGGGAAGCTTATGCTTATAGAAATTACAGATGCCTGACTGTCACCTCATATTGATTAAATCAGGATCATTGGGGTTGGAGCCCAGGCATAGGTATTCTTTAAAATGTCCATAGATTGTTGTGCTTCTAGGGTTGAAAAGGGAAACCCTGGGCATAGGCTGACCTCATCTCTTTTTTTAGCCATTAACCTGTGTGCTGAAAGGACCCATGGCTGTGAGCACCATTGTGTCAATTCCCTGGGCTCTTATTTCTGTCGCTGCCGGGCTGGCTTTGTACTCCAGCAGGACCAGAGGAGCTGCAGGGGTGAGCAACACTTCTGACCCACCCACTTCCTATTAGCACCCTGGACTAAGGCCTCTGATGGCCCCAATCAGAGGTGACAGTTTGCTGTTTCTTTCTATCCACCAGCCATTGACCACTGCGGCTTCAGGAACCATAGCTGTCAGCATGAGTGTGTTAGCACCCTTAGTGGGCCACGATGCCGCTGCAGAGAGGGCCATGACTTGCTACCTGACGGGAGGAGCTGTCAGGGTGAGGAGGGGTCTCCTACATTTGTGGGGAGAGGTAGGGAACCCTAGCTGGTGGGGTCTACCTGGCTCATCTTAACCTGCCTCTCCTTTAAGTCCGGGACCTTTGTAATGGCGTGGACCATGGCTGTGAGTTCCAGTGTGTGAGTGAGGGCTTCTCCTACCGCTGCCTGTGCCCCGAAGGGCGGCAACTTCAGCCAGATGGCAAGAGCTGCAACCGTGAGTGATGATGGGAGGACATTCTGTCTGCTCCTGCCCCATTGCCCACATTCTGGGCATCCTTGGCTTTACCCTTGCTGTGGCCCAAGGCTGTGGTGTGAATGTGTGTTGGGGGGTGGTCGTGTTGGAGGATGTGCAGTGCCCTGTGTCCATCTCTTTCCTGCCAATCCTCTACCCTACTGCCAATGTTAATTTAAAAAAAATACATACAGAATCACATTTCCCCTTTGCTCAAAAGCCTTCTGTGGCTTACCCATGCCTACAGAATAAATATCAAATGCCTTATCCCTGAGTTTTTCAAATGGTGGGCACAGCCACATTAGTGGATAATGAAATCAAATTACTGGGTTACAACCAGCATTAAAAAAAAAAAAGAATGGAAGACAAAATAGAGTTTACTGCATGCAGAAAGAGTATTATTTCTGAAACTTAAGTTTAGTAATATGTGAGCACATGAAGTGAATCATGACATATTATTGTTGTTATTTTTACGGTGGGTTGTGGTCAAAATTTTGAAACCACTGCCTTAGCTCATCATAGTCTAGCTTCAGCCAACCCCATCAGTCTGTCTCCTGCCACACTTGGGATTTTTAGTCATCCTGGCCTGCCCCTCCCTGAGTGTGTCGAGGGCTTCCCAGCTCCCATGCCTGCGCCCTGTGCTCCCATGCTGCTGCCCACATTCTATACTGTTCCTCCCTGCTTTGGCAAACTCCTACTCATCCTTCAAGATTGTCTTAGTCCATTTGGGCTGCTGTAACAAAGTACCATAGACTGGGTGGCTTAAACAACATTTATTTTTCACAGTTCTGGAGACTGGGGAGTTCAAGACCAAGGTGCCAGCAGATACAGTGTCTGGTGAGGGCCCATTCTCTGGTTCATAGACAACAGTCTTCCCGCTGTGTCCTCACATGGTGGAGAGAGAACGCAAGCTCTCTTCAGACTCTTATAAGGACACTTCTTTTATTCATAAAGGCTCTACCCTCATGACATTCTCAATCCAATTAATCAGACCATCACATTATGGGAGAGGGTTTCAACACATGAATTTTGGGAGGTACAATCATTCAGTTCATAACAGAGATCAAATTGAATGTCACCACCTCCATGCAGCCTTCCTTAACAACTCCAGGAAAAAATAAACGTCCCTACCTTGGGCTCCCTGCATGCCCTCTTTTTTAGCACTTTCCTTGGCCATATCATATGGTATATCTGAATTGCTCTGCTCTATCCTAATTTCCTCATGGGTCAGGACTATGTTTTATTTATTCTTGAACCCTCTTTAGGGCCTAGCAAAGTCCCTGATTCAGAATAGGGAAGGCAACATTGTGCAGCGATTAGGAGCCTGGGTGTTGGGGTCCGACGGACCTGGCTTCAAGTCCTAGCTCAGTCACTATTAGCTGTGAAATATGGGGCAATCACTTCATCCTTCAGAACCTCAGATTATAGAAAATGGGCATGATATTCAAGGTTACTGGGAAGATTGGGAATCTATGTAAAGCACTTTACCCAGTGCCTGGCACATGGAAGCTTTCAGTACATAATTTTATTATTATTATTAATACTAGTACAGTGCTTAGAATTATGCCTGATACATAGTAGATGATTAGTAAATGCAGTTATCGTGGTTATTATTACAAAATTTGATTTTAGCAGAGTGCCTGGCTTGTTCTAAGCACTTAATAAATGTCAAGGGCAATGAAAGGGATGATGATGCTTATGACATTATTTAACAACTGCCCAGCATAGCAAGGACTCGATAAGCATTATCTGTTCTATAACACATGTTTGCAAATGAATGATGAGATGGGTAGACGGCTGCTGCAGTCAAGGATCTGGCCCCTCCATCCGCGCTCCTCTCGCTGTGCAGGGTGTCGGGAAGGTCACGTGGACCTCGTTCTCCTGGTCGACGGTTCCAAGAGTGTGCGCCCGCAGAACTTCGAGCTGGTGAAGCGCTTCGTGAACCAGATCGTGGACTTCCTGGACGTGTCCCCGGAGGGCACGCGCGTGGGGCTGGTGCAGTTCTCCAGCCGCGTGCGCACCGAGTTCCCGCTGGGTCGCTACGGCACCGCGGCGGAGGTGAAGCAGGCGGTCCTGGCGGTGGAGTACATGGAGCGCGGAACCATGACCGGGCTGGCGCTGCGGCACATGGTAGAGCACAGCTTCTCCGAAGTTCAGGGTGCGCGGCCCCGCGCCCTCAACGTGCCTCGCGTCGGCCTGGTCTTCACCGATGGCCGCTCACAGGATGACATCTCGGTGTGGGCAGCGCGCGCCAAGGAGGAAGGTGGGCTTGGCACGGGACACAGGGGGCGGGGGTTGGGTCGGACACGAGGAGGCGGCTTTCCCGAGGACCAGGGCACCCTCTGAGCCCCCAGCCCCGGCCCCCGTAGGCATCGTCATGTACGCCGTGGGCGTGGGCAAAGCGGTGGAGGAGGAACTGCGTGAGATCGCTTCGGAGCCGGCGGAGTTGCACGTGTCCTATTCCCCCGACTTCAGCACCATGACGCACCTGCTGGAGAACCTCAAAGGCAGCATCTGCCCGGGTGAGCACATCTCTCCCGGGGCTCCTTCTCTTCCTACCCAACGCTCCACCCGTTCGTAGAGTTATAGCCAGGGGATGGGCTCACTAGACAGAGCCCTGCCACTCAAAGTGTGGTCCGCGGACCAGCCGCAGGGTAGTCATCTGGTAGCTTGTTGAAGCAGTGCTCCACACCGAATGAAGCAGTCTGCTCTTTGACAAATTCTCAGGTGGTTCCTGAGCTTTTTTTTTTTGGAGTTGGAGTCTTACTCTGTTGCCCAAGTTGGAGTGCATTGGCATACTCACGGCCACCACAGCCTCGACCTGCTGGGCTCCTGCGATCCTTCCGTCTCAGCCTTCCAAGTAGCTGAAACTACAGGCATGTGCTACCACACCTGGTTAATTTTTTTGACTTATTGTAGAGATGCGGTCTCACCAAATTGCCCGGGCTGGTTTCAAACCCGTGAGCTCAGGCAATCCTCTCACCTCGGACTCCCAAAATGCTGGAATTAAAGGAGTGAGCCACAGTGCCCGGCTTTCTGAGCATATTAAAGTCTAAGAAGCACTAGGCTAGGCTCCCTGTCCCCCAAATCAGTGGCTGTTCAGAATAATTCGGGAAAATGTTTTCAAAGGCATATGAAACAACATTTGTAAGTAGAGTCACAGCAGATATCCTTTGAGCTTGTTGGAATTCAACTTTATGGACTTGGCAAAGTGGCAGGACTGAGTATGTTTCAAGTACACAAAGTCATATGAGTGGTTTTTTTTGGTGAGGGACCAACATAGCTCATAAATACTATCCATCTACTTCATCTGGTGTTCACCTGAGGAAAAGCGACAAACTCAACCTGCCAAGGAGAAGGAGGTTGTTGAATCAGGTGTACTGTACTTTGTAGGTGATATAGGGGAGAACTCGAGGGTAATTTTTTGTTTGTTTGTTTACCACAGCATCCTTAGACCAACCCAGGCTTAAGGTATGACTCTGCTTTCAGACTAAGAGATAACTTAAATCACTACAGTAACTTTGTTGAGGCTAAGTGCCAGGCATTGTGTTCCTGTTTCACTACCAGTGATCTTAACAATGACACATGTTTACAGAATTTCAGTGAATCTAAAGTACCATCTATTTAAAGGCTCATGACTACTTAACGTACTGCTAAGAAAAATTGCCAAATTTAATTGTAAGACATCCCCCCCCCAGCTGTTGAAATGTATGGAGAGATAGACTTGGATCAGGGTCAGTGGCTCTTAAACATTAGGGTACATCAGAGTCACCTGGAAGGATTTTTGAAAACACAAATTGCTGGGCTGGAACTCCAGATTTTCGGATTCAGTAAGTCTGGGATAGGGTCTGGTAATTTGCATTTCTGATAAATTCCTATGTGATGCTGATGCTGCTGGTCCAAGGATGACACTTTGAGAATCACTGGTCTAGTGAAATACATAATAGGTATTTGCTTGTGTTTTAGATCTTTATCTTTCAATTAGGTAGGCAGTAGCTACATGTGCCTATTACATTAAAGTTAATTAAACAAAACTAAAATAAATTTCAGTTCTTCAGTTGCATCAGTCACATTTCAAAGTTAAACAGAGGGCAACCCCTTGGTCCCACACGGGAGCTTTTCTGTCCTCTCAATAAATCCTGCTTTCTAAAAAAAAAAAAAAATATATATATATATATATATATATAAGCAGCCACACGTGGCTTGTGGCCACCACATGGGACAGGGCAAATGTTCCATCATTGTATAAAGTTTCTGGACTCTTGTTACTCAAAATGTGGCCCACAGACCAGCGGCACCAGCATCCCTTGGGAACTTACTAGAAATGTAACTTCTTAGCTCCTTCTCCATTCTGAATCAGAATCTATGTTTTATTTTATTTTATTTTTGAGTTGGCGTCTCACTCTGTTGCATAAGCTGGAGTGCAGTGGCGCGCTCTCATGGCCACTGCTGCCTCTACCTGCTGGGCTCAGGCAATCCTTCTGCCTCAGCCTCCCAAGTAGCTGGAACCACAGGTATATGCTACCACATCCAGCTAATTTTTTGATTTATCGTAGAGACAAGGTCTTGCCAAGTTGCCCAGGCTGGTCTCGAACTTGTGGGCTCAGGTAATCCTTTCACCTCCGCCTCCCAGAGTGCTGGGATTACAGGGATGAGCCGTCACACCCAGCAGAATCTACATTTTAACAAGTTCTCCTGATGATTCCAATGAACATTAAGTCTGGATTAATGTTCACACACACACACACACACACACACACACACACACACACACCAATGAATCCTCAAAGCCACCAATGAATAGCTTTTTTCATTATATCCATTTTACAGATGAGGAAGCTGAGGCTTAGAGAGGTTGAGTTTTCCAGTGTCTCACAGCTCCTTGGCTGGGACTCGCCCTAAGTCTGTCTGAATCCAAAGCCCATATGCTCAACCATAGGCCCGGTGTGGGTAAATCAGAGGGCCGCCGGCAGGGCCGGCTCGGCCTGCTGCGGTTTCTCATGCCCCTGACTCTGGGTCCGGGTTGCAGAGGAGGGCATCGGCGCCGGGACGGAGCTTCGAAGCCTGTGCGAATGCGAAAGCCTCGTGGAGTTCCAGGGCCGCACGCTGGGGGCGCTCGAGAGCTTGACGCAGAACCATATCCTTTGGGGCTCGTGGCTGGAGGGAAAGCGGAGGGACCCCGGCGCACTTGGACGCTTCCTTAACCCGTCACTGGCCCAGCTGACCGCGCGCCTGGAGGATCTGGAGAACCAGCTGGCCAATCAGAAGTGAGGGCCACGGGTGGCCCAGACGCAGGCTGGGGCGCGGCCCCCCACCGCCCGACTGTGCTCCTCGCGCCCGTCGGGGCGCCCGGGCCGGGCAGAACCTGGGCGCCTCGGGCTTGGGTTGTCGGGCTGGAGGCGCTGGCGGGCTCCCAGCG